GGTAAATAATGAATTTGGTACACTTCCGTACGAATTAGGGCTGAATTTTTAACTTGGAAATTTTGGCTTTCTATTACAATTCCTGCAGCTAAGCTATGAACAATTGGTGTATTTTGATAACTGGAACGCAGATAAATCTTGTCAACTTGGGTTTATGGCATCAGTACCAATTTACGTAGCTAATCGCATTTGAGTAATTGAACTTTAATTGTTATTGTTGCTGCTTCTATTCTGTGCGATGGTGGTGATTAGGTGTTTCTCATGGATATACTCTCCGGCAGCTTGTTTTTCAAAATGCTCAGCGTGTTTTTGTTTTTTGTGTGGTTCCATTTGTTTGCTTCAGCGTGTTTTTCAAAATGCTCAGCGTGTTTACTTCATCCGAGACAACGTACCAATGATATGTTCTTCAATGAAGAAGTAGCGCTCGGTGCCTTAGCAGATGCCGGGGATCCAGGGACTTCGTTCAGGGCAGTCAAAATTTCGATACGTCGCAGCGGGGCATACATAACTACTAACTAGAACGAAAATCGGCGGCAATACTCTATTGTTACGATACCACTTCATTCTGCACCTCGCCAGAATTTTCACTCTTTTACGTTACAAGTCCTTTCGTTACATTATTACATAGTAGAATGGTTTTTCACATGAATAAATCAAGAAATTAATGCGATCCTTGGATGCATATGCCAGAGCACATGGCTTCCAAGTCTTTGCAGACAAATCCATAACGCAAACATATTAATAATGAATGAATTCAACAGCACACCACCTCACTCATAATAATAATAGACTGAGGAGGCCCTCTTGAAAGCTATTCCTTCCTGAGTTAATTACTACCTCTGCTGAAACTATGGTCCACCTTTATAGTAGTACACCATAGTACCCCGTGTAATGCCAAAAAAAAAAAAAAAAATCCATCCTATCTGCCAATCGGACTAACTAAGCTTGTCAAATTCTTGAAAATAGACAACGAATTTTGTTGCCCATCCTAGCCATGTGGAATAGCTCAGGCATTTGCCAGCATTCTTACAATTTGCCAAGCTGACACTGAAACTTCCACATGCTCGCCAGGCTTCTTGGGAAAAAAAGTTTTTTTTTTCCCTCAGCCATTCTATAACCGTTACAAAAGGGTGGCGATCCAATTCGAGGCAAAAGTGTCGATCGAGCTGGCAAGTAGTATTTCCTTTTTCTGAGTTCATAGTACGGAAGAGATAAATCCAAAACAATTAAACAAAGCACCAGTGCATTTGCAAAGTAAGCGGTCCTCTTCTTTTTGAGTCACAAGGCTACTTAGAACCTTTTTATCTTACAGAGAAATAGAGGAGGAGGAGGGAGCATGTACATTTTTTCGCAAAATCCTATTAAATTAGGAGTACATGGGGTCTGAGCTAGAAGAAAGTTAGAAATGTACTGGTAGTACTTATGTTATGTGGGTGTCACAGGACTATTCCTTAGATTCTGTAGTGACTGGTGAGTGAAGCTGTGAAGCTGAGTTTGCCCCACTCTGCATTCAGGCAATAAAGTGCACCTGTTTCAATGTAATTAATATTTTACTGGTAAAAATGTTTTACAAATGTTGCTGCCCATATGCCGTTGTTTTTAACAATGCAGAGCAGATGCAGTGCAACTATTTTAACTGGTACCATGTCTATTGAGTGGATCTGAACTTCCCTTCATCCCAGCCTCAGCTCTGCGGATCTCAAAAATCCATACTTTCAAGGTCTTATTCTCTGCAGTCTGCACATTTCCTCTGTGTATTCAGATAAGTCGAGCAGTGATCAATCTAAGTATCTTGGGCCAATTAATAGCGACAGCGCCTTCTTCCCATTTCTTGTGTTGGCACTTTTTCCAGCGACCGAGTTTGTCTTTTCATCGAGATTTCTTTGGTTTGTGCCCTTTTGGCTGATCAATTTTGCCTCTTTTTCATCTTCTTACCAATATGTCTTGTTCAGCGACTGAGGAGTCAAAGGCTTGATTGAAGGATTAGTTGCATTTTTGTTCGTGGGAAAGATGGCGCCTTTCTTTCTGCTGATTGGAAAGTTCAGCTAGAAAGGTTTTTGGCGAAGAATAAGAGGAGAAGTCAATGGAGGATAAGGGCTGTTTGAACTATGGAAGAGCACAAGAGCTATCTGGGAGCAGTGCTGCTGTGAGTTTTGAGTTTCACAAAGGGAATGGTGCGAATCGCTCTTCACATCATCGAATGGCCTTTGGAAAGCCGACTCCTCTGAAATGGGACGATGCACAAAAGTGGCTGGGTAATCATCTTTCAAGAGGTGGAGAGAAAAACCAGTCAAAGTCCACCCCCCGCAATTCAAATGCTGACGACAGAAGATTGATAGCTCCGGTACCAAAGGAGGAGTACCTGAGCAGCGAGGATGAAGGAGGAAATGCTTTTTCTGGTATTCCAAGTAGTGTCCACTATGAAGTAGAAACAAAGGATATGGACTGTGATGAATCGGTCTGGAGAATCAATAAGCCATCAACTGGATCCGTTTCGGTTGTTCGATCAATATGCGTGAGGGATATGGGAACAGAAATGACTCCTGCCGCAAGCCAAGAGCCTTCAAGAACGGCCACCCCTCTTAAATCCACAACTCCAGCGGCAAGAAGCCCAATAACCTCAGGATCCTCAACCCCATTAAGGTATCAAAATGGATTCCAGATCTCTGAAGACGGTCAGACTCAGACAGGTATAACATCTGCTGAGCACAGGGGAGAGGCTGGCAGGGGCAATGGATCATCAACAAGCCGATTTGCGCGAGAAGGAGAAGAACTGAATGCTGCAAATATGAGTGAGAGCCGTTCAGATCAACCTCAAAGGCTAAATCCTCTGGAAACCAGGGCAATGGCTTGGGATGAGGCTGAACGAGCCAAGTACTTGGCAAGGTAATATAAATAAGCAGCTTCGTAAAAGTTATGCACCACAGAACTGCTATTTTCCTCGATGAGACGGCATTGTACAGCTTTTGATAGTATGGTTGTGCAGGTATAAGCGCGAAGAGGTGAAGATACAAGCTTGGGAAAATCACGAGAAAAGGAAAGCTGAGATGGAAATGCGAAGGATGGAGGTACCACCCCCTCGCCCACACCATATTGCCATGTTCTTGTCTGTTACTAGTTCGAAACTATCAAAAACAGATTTGTCAAGGTCTGCTTCGATGAAATACATAAAGCCCTAAACCAAATGATGAGTCCATAATTAGATGTTAAGAGGCTAGACAAACACATTTTGAAAAAATCATGAAAATGTCCAGCTTAAATTGCAAATGTCACCGGGCATTTAGAGCTGATAACATACTGATTTTAGTCTGGACGCAGAACCATGACTACAGTGTCTATCATCGTTCGAGTTAGGAAAGTGAAGAGTGTGACGCATATATATATATATATATATATATATATTTTTAGAAAATGTCTGCAGAAGGATAAATAAATAAAGGGCTTGAGAATTTATCGACTGAAATGGGATGATTTATGATACAAACGCCTATCTTTCTTAGACAAATACGACGGTAGTTCGTTACATTCAATTATCAAATTTGCAGGTGAAGGCTGAACGCCTGAAGTCTCGAGCACAAGAGAAGTACACGAACAAACTCGCTGCAACTAAGAGAATAGCAGAGGAAAAGCGAGCAAATGCAGAATCCAAGCTAAATGAGAAAGCTGTGAAGACTTCCGAAAGGGCAGATTACATAAGGAGAACTGGCCATATGCCTTCTTCCTTCTCTTTCAAGCTGCCTTCCTTCTGCTGGTAGAAAGTAGCAAAATGCTCACCGTTGCTGCGTTTCTTCAGGCCTTGCAACGTTCGTCCATTTTAAGCACAGAAGCCATAGATTTGATTACCACCTCTCGTGGCTGCTGAACAATGTTACCTTCTGCTATTTGTGGCCATCAATATGATCCTTGTTCCAGCAAGGGTTCAAGACTAATGGTTTCATTTAGCGAAAAGGCTTCCATTTGTTCACATAATTAGCTGTTTCTTTGTATGGAAGCTCATTTTGCGCCTGAGATAATTGATGATATTTCATTGATCAGATTTTTGCTACAGGAATTTTGCTACTGTGTGGTTTTTTGTTTGGCGGTGCATAATTCCAAACTAACTGGATGCTTTATGCCTATTCATCATAAGAGGAAAAACTTACTTGGGCGTACAAGTTCTTTCAAATTCATGCTTTGCAATAATTTGCATACAATATACAGCGTCTCGTTTCACATGCTCACCAAACTGGACACCAATTGAGCGAGTGAATGAGAATTCATATCACTGATACAGCAGCTAAAACAATCAGCCCCCACTTTAGGTTTGTGCAAACTCACTGGTGACGCTTGGTTCGTGCTGTTCCGCTAGAATAAAAATACAAAATGTTAAATAACAAAATCGACAATAGTTATAATAATAATAATAATAAAATTAACTATAATAAAATAGTTAAAATAATAATATAATAATTGAACGGTGAAATAAAAATATGTAATTCTAGTTTTATAATCATTGTAAAAAATATAATAACTATCTCGAAATATATCCATCAATCTCTTGGCATAGCTTGAAGTATCTAATGAAAATCATTGCATTCTAGTACATATGTGTATAGAAGTTCTTAAAAATTGGTAATTGGGCACTTAGCGAATGATAATTTTTAAAATTAACATTAGTTTTATACTTTTTCATAAATTATTCACACTTGCCTAGTTTCGCAATTAATCAAGAAAACTGATGCATTCCAACGGGCTACTACAATACACCTGTCAACCAATAAGTTTCACTGTCAAGACCAATTCCATCCGTGGTTCGTGCTGGGCCTCAGTCGGGCTCAGCCCAATCCGTACTTGATGAGCGATCTTTAGAGGGCCCATGCTCCGCGCCTTTACTGGGGCAGAAAAATGAAGTAAGAAAAAACTTGAGGGGCTTATTGAGCAATTTTATACTCATTAAAAAAAATAGCAAGAATTTCAAAGGCATCCACATAATTTTAACGCTCGCGATAGCACTAAAATAGGCCTCTTTCGTCCGCGGTAGCGAAGTCGGCTTCGCCTTCGTTTCTGCGAACCTGCGATAGAACCATTATTACGCTCTCTCTCTCTAGAAGCAGCCTCGCTCGTAGCCGCTGCTACTCATTAATCTCTTTCTGTCTCTCTCCAATCCGATTGAATCCATCGGACTCGGTTCGTTGGTAAGCCCTTCGAATCTCAATAATTGTCGGGAGGGAGTATATCATATTAATTTCTAGGGTTTTCTATCGTCAGCTATTGTTCGATTTCGGGCTTTTATTTCTAGTTTATTAACAAAGATTGAAGAAAAAAATAATTGTTGGCCCTACGCGATTTACTTTCGGCCTTGAACTTGTTTCTCGTATCAAGATCTGTACTTTGATTGTCTCGCTTTATAGATTGAAATCTTGTGGGGTAGAATTAGGGGAAATTGGGGAAGGAGGTCTTCTGTTTGTTTTGATGAAATTTGCTGAAATTAGGCTTAGGGTTTTCTCTTAAACCCCGGTTTAGGCGAGTTTAGCAGGTGAATTGAATTTTTTGGCTGTATCAGAGGGATAAACTCGGTTATAGATTTATGGCGGCTGGAAGACATGGGGGTTATAGGGACAATGAGTTCAGGGATCGTGAGTCTGACTTTGAGGTAGCCAGGAGGGAAATTGGCTATTCAAAAGGTGATTATGATCGGATGAGGAATGGTGTGGGGGACTATGATAGGGGGAATAGGGCTCAAAATCATGATGGTCGAGATAGGGGTAGAGTTAGGCAGAAGGATATTAAGGAGAGGGAGTTCACTAATGGTGGGTATCGGTCTGCCTCAAGTAGGAGTGACTCGGGCAGTAGTGGTGGTGGTAGTGCTGGTCTGGGGCCAAAGAGGTATGGTTTTTGCATGAGGCCCGTGGACAGAGAACCTGGGGAATTGTCCAGTGAAAGTGGGTCTGATGGGGCTATTGATTCTGAAGCGCATAAGAAGGATGGTGGTGAGCTTAAGAAGTCAGAAAATGGAAAGAGAAAATTTTCACCCATCATTTGGGATAGAGATGGAGATGGCAAAAAAGTGACTAGAATTGTTAAGGCGAGGACTTCCCCAGCAGCAGCTGCTCTTCCCCCTCAGCTACCCACGCCTACTTCTGGCACCATGTCACCTGATCGCAACCCTGATAGTCGTCAACATATTTCACCTAGTAAAGATATAGTGGTTCAGAATTCTGGGCTGTCACCGAAAAAGGTTACTGAGGACCTCACTTCTCAAATAAATGTTGCTTCTGACTCTCCAATTGGTTTATCTCCTTCAGCTCCTGAGGCAGAGGAAGAGGAAGCTCACTGGGGTAAAAATGAGGGAGCAGTGACAGTGGATGATGATTACTATATGCCAGCACGTAATATAAAATCCTCTCGCTGGGCAAATGAGGCTGAATCATCAGCTGATGAAGGTGAAATTTCTGATGATGAGGAGATGGTTAAATTGAAGAAGAAGAAGAAATCTGTTAATGAATCTACTGACACAAGGGGACAGAGGAAATCGGTAACTCCAGAGCTCGGGGAACTGAGGAGAGAAGGTTCAGTGGGAAATAGGGTCAGGTCTTCTGATGAACGCGTTAGATCCTTTAGTGGAGATAGTGATCCTGATGAATTGGACAGGAATGAGTACATGGAGGTTGATGAAGATCGCACTTATGGTGGAACCAGTGGTAGCAATGCGGATACTGGTTCTGATGATGAACACAACTCCCACGGGACACCAGAACATGCAGTTCCTCCACCAAGGGCCGTGAACATGCTTCAGGGTTGTAGAAGTGTTGATGAGTTTGAGAGGCTGAACAAAATAGATGAAGGCACATATGGTGTAGTTTATAGAGCTAGGGATAAGAGAACAGGAGAAATAGTTGCTCTGAAGAAGGTCAAGATGGATAAAGAAAGAGAAGGGTTCCCTTTGACCTCTTTGAGGGAAATAAACATTCTTCTTTCTTTTCATCACCCATCAATTGTAGATGTCAAGGAAGTAGTTGTAGGGAGCAGTTTGGACAGCATTTTTATGGTAATGGAGTACATGGAACATGATCTGAAGGGGTTAATGGAGACAATGAAACAACCGTTTAGCCAGAGTGAAGTTAAGTGCCTCATGCTTCAGCTTTTTGAGGGTGTTAAGTATCTGCACGATAACTGGGTTTTGCACAGAGATTTAAAGACATCAAATATACTTCTAAATAATTGTGGTGAGTTGAAGATCTGTGACTTTGGATTAGCACGTCAATATGGAAGCCCTTTGAAACCATATACTCACTTGGTGGTTACTTTGTGGTACAGGTGAGCGTAGTTTTATGCACTATTGTCTTTTTTAGTTGAGATAATTAAAATCTTTTACCTGGTTCATTTTTGATGTATTATTTGGTTTTTGTCAAAATAGTATTGAGTGCTTTAATTGCAAATCCTATGCTAGTGCCTTTCTATTACAAGAATCTAGAGTGATCACCTGGGCCTTACTGCGATTTTTTTTTTACTGTTAATGTTGTTTCTTCTATGAATGTAAGTCATGTCAATTTAGTTTGGTTACCCAGAATGCGCCAATGATAATCTCTACTTTAGAAACTGCATTTTGTTATTTTTTCTGGTGCAACAGAATTGTATGTTGTAGCATCTTGCTCTTAGGTGGCCAAATTTTCATTTTCTATGTGGCACTATCTTGATATTAGACCAAAAAAAATTTGAAACTTGAGCAGCTAGCTGGAATATGTGTCTCTTTCCTTTTCATTTGTAGGTCTTGTGATTGTGTATTTTATTTTTGCTAATTTTGGAAAATAAAAATAAACGACCGAATGACAGAATATTTAATGTTTTTCAAGGGCGCCTGAACTGCTTCTAGGAGCTAAGCAGTACTCTACAGCGATTGACATGTGGTCCTTGGGTTGTATTATGGCCGAGCTGTTAGCGAAGCAGCCACTATTCAATGGGAAAACAGAAGTTGATCAACTCGACAAGGTTAACATTTTGACAACTTTCATCTGTAATGTTACTGTAGATTTTTGTATGGATTCCAAGCTAATTTTCTTTTCTGTGGCCTTAAAGATCATTGTCGTTTTGTTTTGCAGATATTCAAAATCCTTGGTACACCTAATGACACAATCTGGCCTGGGTTTTCAAAGCTTCCTGGGGTCAGGGTTAACTTTGTCAAGCATCAGTAAGTATCTATTTCGTGTTTATCATAGTTCGATGCAAATCGACTGTATAATTTATGGTTTTCATGTTTCCTACTGTTTTCCCAGGCTTCCAGCTTTGGGTGATTCTGGTCTGGCTTTCTGTCCTTCGTTGGCGACAGTTTCAGTTCCCAAATATATGTCATGTTTCTATTAACTGGTGCTTTGTTCATTTCAGGTATAATCAACTGCGTTCCAAATTTCCAGCTACATCCTTCAGAGGATCGCCGGTACTCTCTGATGCTGGATTTGACTTATTGAACAGGCTTCTGACTTACGACCCTGAGAAGGTATGTCATTGTAAGGTGTGATACTGTTTGTAGATCATGATTGTAACTATTTAAAGTTTGGAAGACGTTTTTTCTGATTCTTGTCTTTGGACAGCGAATAACTGCTGAGGATGCTCTTAGCCATCCTTGGTTTTCTGAAGTTCCTCTACCCAAGTCGAAAGAATTTATGCCTACTTTTCCTGCTCAGCATGCTCAAGACAGGTACTTTAGCCGTCCTCTGTTTGTTACTTAATTTGTTCATTTGTTGGATTAATGAATTAATGTTTTATTGCTTCTTTGTAGACGTTTGCGAAGAGCCATGAAGAGCCCAGATCCCTTGGAAGAGCAGCGCAGGAAGGAGTTGCAACAAGGGGAACTAGGAACTAGTGGTTTGTTTGGTTAAGGGAAGTCATTAGTGCCTTGAAGTTCAATTTATGCTTCAGTTCTGTTCTCGTGATTGATGTGGTTGAGGTGAGGATGTATTGAGAGGAAGTTATTGTTAGAAGATCATTCGTGCTGTTTTTTAGCAGGCACCCTTGATGAAGTAGATGGAGAATCAATTCTTTGTCTAAGCTTTTGAATCAGATGTGGTGGGGAGCTCTGGTGTAATGAAAATTCCTTCTTTGACACTGCTTGCATGCCAAGGTGTGGCATAGTGCCTTTCTTATTAAGAAACAGTTTCAGTTGAAACTTGTGTATGTAACATATTTTCTGTTGATACATTGTAACAATTTTCATGAAATTTGTTTTGAATTTCAGAACGATATAGTGTTTATTCTTAATCTTTGTTCTTTGTTTTATCAATTTTAATTTTCATCCTGGTCTTTGCAAGAGACACTGGTGTAACGCGGAGCAGGCTTTCTTAGCTTTTGATTGACGAAGAAATGACAGAAAGTATTGCGCTTTGGAGGTAATGTTAAGTCTGAATACATGGGTGTAATGAAGGATCAGAAATTTGCTCTCTGTCGATATGGGATGTCCTTTGTGCCATTGTTATGTTAGGCCACATGCTAGCCTCTTAGAATTACATGCTTTCTCTGGTAATCCTGTGAGAAAGTGCCATATCTCATCTTTCCAATCTGGAGCTCTCGGCTACATAACCTGACATAGTATAATCGGAGGATCAGTTGTCTATTAATTATGCCATTTTGATTGAAGAAAATTGCACCATTCCCATATGAAGGTTCTGGTAATTAAGTTTAATTTGTTTAATGGATGTGTTTAATTTTTGTTTATAATGATATTATCTGAGGAGATGCAATTTTAGATTCTAAATGGTTTGGCATTTGATACAGCAAGTGTAAATGTGAAGACGTTATTCTCATAGTGCTACTACGTGTAATTTTGGTGTTTCTTAGCGGGATTTTGTTCTATTCTTTTTGTATTTCTCATTTTAAGTTTTTTATTTGAAAGGATATTTAGAGACCGTTTGGATGTGATGCATGCAGAAACTTCAGTTTCCAGCTAATTGAGTTGCCTAGGTCATTCTTGTGAATTGCGAATTGTTTATAATTAGGAAGAAGCTAATAGATTTTTGTTTATGTTAATATTGGCATAGACCTTCATCTATGTTCCTTCCCTTGAGACTTCAAATCACAAACATGCCAACAAGCGTTACTTTGATAAACGTGTGGCTTTTATGCTGTGTGGCCACCTAGAGAAGATGTTTTTCTTGAAATACTGTTGTAATCCCACGTTTATCCTTGATACCAAGGCAGAAGAAGAGCAACATGGGTTGTAACTAGATTTTACTATTCATGGCTCTACTATGGATGGGCAGCTCATTGTATCAAGAATTTTGCGACAGAGTGGTTTTTTTTTTTTTTAATTTATATGTGCTAGTTGCCATATTTCTGGGAATGTAGGTGTTTACTGTGTATTTTAATTGTACAACCAAGATGTTTTACTGTGTTTTTTTTTATTTATATGTGCTAGTTGCCATATTTCTGGGAATGTAGGTGTTTACTGTGTGTGTTAATTGTACAACCCAGATGAGTTTTATTTTTAATTTTATTTTTTCAATTTTTTTTGGGCTTTATGGTGTTATTGAGCCTTTAACGTCTTCATCTTTGGACTTATTTGACATTCATGTGCAAATGTTACTGCAGTATCAAGGCAGGCAGGTTGGGGGAGTTTACCTGTACAACCTGGCATATAGATTTTCAAATTATTTTTCCATTCTTCAGATATTCTTTTTCTCTTCTTCAAAGCTCTGTGGAGGTACCTTGCAGCCTTTATTTACTCTAATATTTGTAGTCTTTTTTACCCTAATATTTGTAGCTGCTTAATTTTTTTAAAACTATCGTGCTGTGTATGGCATTATGTATTTGACATATAATGAGCACCATAGAACTTTTTGAAGATTCTTTAATATTTGAACCTATTTTTTGTTTTCAGGAAAAAATCTGTAACATAGAGTTGAGATACCTTAAGTTTTGCTCTCTGGCTTTGAATTTTCAAATTTGAGTTTTGCATCCAGGTTTTATGAATTGCCATTCATCTAGAATTCTGTGCAAGAAATGGTTAGCTGTGTTTGCATATTGTGGATTGGTTGGGGTTTTTTTTTTATAATTCAAGTGATGATACAGAATCCAACTGTTTGTTGCTAAGATGTTACAGATGCTGGGAGGTTTACCTACTGATTGGTTCATGATATGTTTGTTTTGACTGGCTACTAGCTTAATTTTTTTGGTACGCCTGGTGAGATTAGAAGAATGTACAGTTAAGGTTGATGAGAATGTGTGTGGGCAAACTAAATGGCTAGCACATTTACATCCAATCATTTTCAAATGTCATACTGGGATCTTTTTACTTCTATAACCTGTAGTTTTGAATTCTTGACATATGGTTCTGGAGTTTAATCACCAATGATTTGTTCTTAGGTGTGACGTGATTGTGTCTCTCTCTAGTATTCCACTATTTATGCCTGATATTGTTTGCCTGTTAGTTCAACAGATCATAATGTGACCAATGCTCCAATTTTGTGCTACTGCATTGTCCTTATGTTTTCCAGCAAGAGGTCTTTCTCAAGTCTTATAAATTATAAGTGGGTCTTGTTATTTGCCTTGTAGGATAACTGGTGGATTTAAGGTGCTATTCTTCTTATGAACTGAGACAGTCTTGACTTAGAGCCTGCTGACAACTTGGGGGTGCTTAGTATTTTAAGAGTGAAGGGGCAGTATTGAGTTAGAGCCGCTACCAACTTGGGGGTGCTATATTTTAGCAGTGGAAGGTATGGATAACGTCATTAGCTGGGAAGAAGAGATGAATACTTGGATCATTAGAAAGTTGTAGTGCGACGCTGGTTGTCTGTCACAAGGAGCATATCCTGAGGTGTCAACTTCTAGTTAATAAACTGCATTTTTATATGTTATGTGTGGTAAAATTCCTTGTCTCATTGTTTTTCATAGATGCAGCGAGGAGAGAACTTATTATCATAGATGTGCTTGCTTCTGGTTTTGGATACTTTTGGTTCTCTTAGCTTTTGCTTCTCAAAAGTGTTTCAAGGTAATTTTCATAGTTGGAAAAAAGTAACTAACAGAGATTGAATGCAAAGGTTGATCAGTGTAGGTTCAATAATGAATGTAGTGCAGGATATGGGTGAGAGAGATTCTTGATGAAGTTGAGGGACCGTTTACCATCGTTAGGTATGTGTCTTCATTGGCAGCTTCTTTCCTTGTGTATCTTTCATCCTATTCTTGTAATTCTGCTGTTCATCATGCAAGTGTTAGTGTAAGGATGCAAGGATGTTTACTAGAAAAATCTGGAGCTTCTTGGGCTTTTTATTGTTTGGTGCAACGTGAGATCTGCTGAATGGATTTTTCCTTTGCGTATTTTTACCTACCTGACCCGTTTAGTATTTCTAGCTTCTAGTGGCCTATATATGGTAAATTGTTTGTATGAATTAATTTATGGCAACGTAGGGTAGTTTGAAATAATCAGTGTGTGTTGGATATTTGGAAGATCACGAGGTAGCAGAGGCATTATCTGAATCTAGACTCTACGCATGGGGTTTGCGTTCCAACTGCTTGACCATCATTGGCCTGCATTTGCTGTAGAATTACAGGTGTCGTTTAAGCCTAGCTTGTATATTTCCTTTCCCCGGGTTTGCCTTCTAGACGTTGACTGATTATCATGTTGAATTTTGTGGAAGGTGATGGAGCGAGACCAGCACTGTCGCTTAAGCACCCTCATCAGAGAGAGATTGTTGCTTGAACATGAGCATCTTCCCTTCCATTCAAGGATTGTGTGCTGTCCCATTTGTGAATACGGTTAATATTAAATCTGTCATAAAAGGTAAAATAATTTCCCGAAAAAATGCTGTTCCAATTAACCATACGCACTGATTTATGTTTTCTATTATAGTACAAGTCGAAGTCAATGACACTTCATAACTTTCCTGTTATTATTATTATTATATTTTTTTTGGGGGTCCTTTTCCAATGTCTTTTACTATAATGATTTACATGTAATCTTAACCAAAGAAGCGACAGTGAATGCTTTAAGAACAAATTGCAAATGATGAACGGAGCCCGTCAAATTGCAAATTTCCTTGTGTGATGGGCGCCCTGCGAAGATGCTCTTTGCATGCCTGTAGCAGGCCCGAACAGAGAATGGAGTGTAGCGGGATATAGGCGCTGCCCCAGGGAAGATGGCCGACGACTTTGGATCGCAATTACGATTTTGATGCGCCACTTTGCCGCGGCGGGTGATTACTGTGAAGTGAAAACTACGGTCTTTCCAAGCACGAAGAGCACGAGCGACAGTTGAATGAAGAAAATGGTGTTGATCAGTCCCCTGTCAACCGTCCATCCAAAAACCGTAATTCCCCCGGGGTTGGACTGCAAATATGTCACTGTAGAATCAAAAAAAATTAATGAGCGTACGTGACAATTCAGGATTAAGATACCAGTTAGAAAGGCTCAAGCAAAGAACACACTCGATGATCAAGCCTGGTTGCACTGAAAGAAACTGTTTTACATATCCTACCACTTCAAAGTTCTGTGTGCGTGCGGTGGTTTGCCTGTGTTGAGGGTATGTTGTTTGGTAGGAGAAGTCATTCTTAGTTTTTTAATGAACAGCAATTGCCAAGCAAAAGCACTTAGAATCTGTCTTTTTGCGCATTTATCTTGTGTTTTCATTCTTTAATAAAAAGAAACAGATTGAAGAGATGAATCCCTTCCAGAGCAAGAGGTGAACAAACAGCAGTGGTAGAAGGAGAAAAAATCGATAACATACTCTGCTGTATTTTCTCGATAATTCTCTCTTAGTTTCGGATAACATGCTCATAATCAGATTCCCTTTCTTGTCTGAAGCATATGCTACAACGAAATACCCTTTCACAACTCTTGGCATATTGATTAAGGTGGGCGGGTATAAAGCTAAGAAAATGTAATTCTGCTGTTACTCGACTTATTTACTCGTATTCTTCATACTAGGGAAAAGCCTTTATAATGGAGCCAGAAAAATCATGTAAAATTCATCTATTTGGGCATCCGGTCTATACTGAGAATAGAATATTAATAGAGTCTGGATTATATAACATTCTGTCCAATGAACGATTCTTTTCATCCTCAGCAGATTTCTATGTCATATAAACAAGCTCAAGAAAGGCAGCTTAATTAAAAGAAAGGGCTAACTTAAGGTATATACCTCAGAGGAAGGTAATATAGAATAAATAAAACCAAAAAACAGGATTTGATCCGCGTACCTAGGGCTTGCCTCTTGTGGTATGAAGATGCATAAGAAGAGAGTGGTGTACTTTGACTGGTCGGGACAAATTCCAAAGACTCCAAATCACTTTCTGAGTAGCTTGTGTAGAGAGAACCTATCATATGATCCACCTCCAGGCTTCCAGTGCTGCTAGCAATCCTGAATTGAGATGCATCAGTAGGAGTGCATGTCCTTAAAGCATGCCACTGACCAGCTAGCGATCCAATTCCTTGGGCTCTGTGGGATATTTTTGCAGCTGCGTTCAAGCAAAGAGTTATTCCAGCTACTTGGACGATGGAAGAGACCTAATAACCAGAGAAAAAAACTTAACCTTAAATTGTCAGCGTCATACTCTCAACTACACAACAATAGAACGGGAGAGGTGCACATAGAGGAAAAAGCTGAGATGTGCTGCTGACAAAGCATAGAGATATCCATCTTAATCTCAACTCAAACCAAATTAAAAGTAGTCCATGAATATCTACATAGACTTTAAACCTGCAAATATTGGCAACGGAGTCCAAATCTCTGTTTCAGGAAATTAAGCACACTAATTTGTTCTAATGATATCAATCAGCAATTCTTAATTTTACCAAGGGTTCCAATTTTATTCTAGAGAACTCCCGTCCGGCATTCAAATCCATGGACAAACAATTGAGACAATAAACAAAACAGCAATTGCGAGTGATGATGAAGTCCAAACTTACAGCAAAATCACCTCCATTAATGAATGAGATGATTCCAGTATACCCAGTAGTTTGGAATAGAGTCACAAACTGGCTTACAGTGACAATCAAGAACACCAGAATAAGATAGATCCTAAATCTGTGGCTTATTTTTGATAGATAATGCCGCAGACGAATATGCTCTTTTATTAATATTAAAACATCAGATTGCCTTTCCAAGAGCTTCCCATAGTCATCGAAGTGTATAATCTGTAAATTGCAGACCAGATAGAACAATATGCAGGAGCACAGAAAGATTATTGTCACATAGGTTGAGGATAAAACAAATGCTAGTAAAATAACGACAGTTTGCCACCATAATTCATGATGCACGTATAACATGCGGATGACTTCACGAGCAGTCTTAAGAATGAAGCATGGCAGTACCCATAACACCAGCAACCGGACAGATTCCTGCACATAGAGATACCCCCATGAGTCCTATACTGTGGCAGTCGTATTACAACACGTGCCAAATATCGAAAGTTTTACATAGATCAATTGTTCAGAGGTAAAAGACTACTCAAGTCCAAAATAGAAAAACTTAGAGCGACCAAATATATCAAGAGAAGCAATATATTGAAGCAAAACTCGTGAAGGAAACGGACACACCAGTATATGCTGGGATAATTCCCAATGATATAGTAGAAGAAGCATCCACTCTTTTAAAACATCAGTCGTAGTGTGTTTCAAAGAAACCAAATAATACGTACAATAGAAACTTAAACTTTTTTCCATTCCAAGCCAAACATTTCCGCTTGCACAGAAAGATTCTTTGCCATTGATCCCAAGAATATAAGCGGACGGCAGAAAGTAAATATGTTCACCAAAATTTACTCAGCAAACTTCTGCAACTTATTCCTTGATATAAAGCAATTAATTTAAAAGATTGACTCTTTTTTTTTTTTCAGGTTATGAACCAGCTTAATAGCTCATCTAGTACTCTTTATTTTGGATGCATTGTTATCTTTCTTGTAGAAACACAAGCAGCATATAAAGAACACAAAGAAAGATCAGAACCATAACCACCCTGCATATCGTGCAATTTATAAAGTCCAATTAGAAAGATACTCACAGAGATCTTCTGAATATATTGGTCACTGAACCTCTCCACATGACCAGTATACCTATCAACAAATAGAAACTTCCTAATGCCATACTTCCGCAAATTGTGGGACACACAAATAAGAGAGGCAGCTGCCAAACTAGCCTGAGAAGCCACAATATCCAGCTCAAAACTTTTAATTTGGCCCTTCTCACAACCGGGACAATTAGAAAGTTGAAGAATAACCACCGGAAGGAAAAAACCAATGAGCAGGAAAACCATCCAAGACAGTCCGACACTCAAGATTGAATTTTGTTTGAAGCCCAGAAGAGCGAGGAACGAGTCTAATGTTTTAAGGGTCTTGTCAAGAGGAGTGTAGGCCTCTTGATCTTCTTCCGTAGTTTCTTGATTTTGGGATTGTTGAGTTTGTTCTACCTTGAGCAGGGGAGTCTGGTCTTGCAGCTGCCGTGAATGTGATTCCTCCTCTGGGACGTCCGCTACTTGTATATGAGTTTCAGCCATTGATCCAAAAACGTACTAACTTTTACACTAGGCAACTTAAAAAAGGGAATAGTGAAAAAGAGGGCTTGAATCAGTATTTAGTGAGAAATGTTCGATCATAAGAGTATTTGGAAAAGAAGAAATGTGATGATTAATCGAAACTGACAGATCATCTGATCGCCGTTTTATCCGAGTAAAATAGTCTATGGGTAACAGTTCCAACCACATTCGTCTATTTTGAGGCGTATTGACACTTTTGACCATTTTGGGCTACCGGCTGTCTTGCAAGAAACTGTACGACTATTTAAAATGTTGAAATTAGAAAAGTGGTGGTAAATGATAGAGATGACAGGCTTGTCGGATGAAGATATTCTCGTAGGAGATTCGAGAGAGTTGTAGGGAGTTTAGTAATTAAAAATATGACATTTGTTTAGCTAGACAACTATGTAGAATTACCAAACCATGCTGCACAATTCGAGTAGAATTTTGTGAAAGGCGCCCTTCAAAAACAGTATGCATCGACACATAAGTTGGTCAAGTGAAAATGAAGTAGCCAATGATTGGACACAGGAAATAAGCTATCACTTGCCTCAAGACAAAATGCACTTTTCTTTTAATACATAAATTGAGACTTGTACACTAAACCTATTTGATATACAAATATTGGCCTAGTAATGTATATAGTGTGAGTAGTTAGACAGGCAAATTTGAATCGTTAGCAGACTGCAAACCTTGGAGCATGAGAGTTGAGCTTCAACTTGCAAAGGAGAAAGGCATTTTGGAGTCTTTTGACTCTAAAGTTTGCACCAGCGGACCATCTGAACAAGAAGTAACTCCCCATGTATTGGCAATGGCAGCAGATTGCAAGACTCAGTCACAACGTATCCACGTCCCTTTCCAACATTCCTGCGGAGAAGAAAACAGGCGTGCGGATTTCCTGACAAATCTCGGCGTTCAATCAAAATACATCTGTGACTTCTTGTGATCAACAGCCTGTTGGACTAAGGCCCTTACTCTTTGCAGACATTTTAGGGTGCTGCAGTTACCTATTTTATGTTTATGTAAATATTTGATACTTTCTATTATTTCTACCCAAAAAAAAAAAAGGGATCTGTAAGAAGTGACTGGGGGATCCCTGCCTCCCGGCCCTCGTGGATTCTCCATTTGTCGTCTCCATCGCTGACTTAAACTCCCCATCACTCCCCAGCTCAGTATCCAACCATCAAACTACTGAAACTAGAGAATATTCTAAATCACCGCTCATCGACTCCAAATATCCTACTGCTATAACAAAAATGGTCAAAGCAAATCCAAATTCTCCTCCTCCTCAACCACCATTATTTGCCGCCATCTTCCGTTGACCTCAGAAGCGGTTTCTGTTCCGAAGCTAGAATCTACCACAGCCTTATGTTCTGTTTGATAAAACTGAATCTGAATTCTGAAATCTGAATACTGAAATACTAATTAATTTGCTGAATTTTAAACACTGAAAAGAAATATGTGAATGCCTGAATTTTAATGCTAAACCTATTTATATTGTTTGATAAATATTTATAACTGAATGCTTAATAAGTTAAATTTGATAATTTTGCCCTTATATCTTTTCATCCAAAAAAGAAATAGAACCTATAATTTAATTAGTTAAAAATGTTAGGTGTGAAAGTGACAATATTTATTTTTAAATCAAATTAATATAAAAGATGAATTATATTATATGAGGAGTACGGAGAAGAAGTAAAAGTTATTTAAAAGAGACAAAAGAGAAATAGAAAATTATTAAATAGAGAATATTAGATTGTTTAATTATATAAGAATTTTGACTATAATTAATAAATAAGGGTAAATTTGATAAATAAGATAAGATAGTTGAAATAATTCTATTGATTCTTATCAGAATTAAACATTTGATTAGGATTCTTGTGCTGAAAAAAATATATACAAGTTCAGTACTACCTAACAATTTCAGCAAATAAATTTTCATTTATCAAACATTCAAATCATCTTAATATCTAAAAAAATTCAAATTTAACGCTTTTTTGTGTTATCAAACGTAACCTTAGACCCCGTTTTTCCTTTCCCCTATAACGACCCCTCTCTCCTTCACGCCCTACATCTTTACTTTTCTCCACCACCATCCACCCACCTCCACCGCCGTTGCACTCCTAGTCCTAGACACCACCAACCACCGCCTT